ATACACAATACGATACACAATAATACGATACACAATAATCAATATACTCTATATTGACGTCAATACATCGGTATTGACAATATTTCTGTATTCACATCATCAATATTATAGTTAATAATTCCCCTTCGCGTCAATATATTGATACGTGTGGGGTTCGCTTTTTGTTTACAAGAGCTGATGCGTCCCTTCGAAAAAGTAATCGAGAAATGTTTTTTTTTCGATGATTCACTGTATCTGCATATCTCTCTACACTGAAACAAATCGACATGTACCGATTCCATTGGATTATCACTTAAAAGCTATGACTGCGATATGGAATGATTTCTATCGTAATTTCACATACTTAGTACTTGATAATACTTTGCTTCGAACGTGGTTAGCGATAGGTAATAAGTATATGAATATTGTCTGATATATTTCATGGTGAAAAACTGTTGATATGTCATGGGTGGGAACAGACATCTATAAACTAATGGAAAATCATATAAGTTTGCACTATGAGAAAATCCAGTAAAATATACCTGTTTTCATGATGAATATTGCTCACTAAAATGTATATCTTATAAGATAATGATGTATATTTTATTGGAGTTGCTTTTAATGATTTTTGACGTTTGTTGATATGTCGCGTGTAAACAGACATGAAGAAACTATTGGACTGTCATTTAACTTTGCAGTATAGGAAAACATGTATATCTCATTGGAATAGCTTCCTTTGATTTTTGAGGTTTAAAGATTGTAAACAGATCCATCCCAATCATTTAATTGTCATATAGATATGCCTTTTAAGAAATCCAACAGCAAACGTTTGTTTTTGCATGTTTTTCTGGGCTGAGTATCGCTCCCAATAAAGTACATCTTACATGATTGTTCTTTATAAATTATTAAAACAATTTTCAACGATGTTATCGTACACTCATTAAAATGATTAGTTGAACTAAATACTACTAACAACAATGATACTGTATTGAATAATCTTTGTTTGTTTCCGGAAAAGAATGTATTGAGATTGAAAAAAAAAAATGATTCTACTGCAATATTTACTTTGCTATGATTCTAATTGTAAGCCTTCTACACGGCTAATTCAGATTCCAGCCCTAGTACTCGAACTTCATGAACCAGTTACATCAACTTATATAATTTAGTCGTTGATTTATTGCACACAGGTGCATTAAGAAAGATTTGAACAAACCACACCACCGAAACGGAACATAAATTTGTCAGTGCTATTTGTCTTCACTCTAGCAAAACAAGCATAACGTTGCACTGCATTCCATGTCGGGAGAGCTGTTCTTACTTCATGCTATTTGAACGAGCTCAATCTTGAAGTCAGCCGTGGCCCAGTGAAATCGAGCGCAGAAACCGAAAGCATCACAGCTCAACAGTCCTTGATCGAATCCCAAATCAGCTACAATAAAAAAAGGCACAACTGTGAAAGCTCCCACTGCCTGATGTTTATTTTTCGATTTATTTTTAGAAATCGATTAAATATATGTGTCAAAAGAAGAAGTAAATTTCATGTGATTTTCACACAAACTTTACTTTGATTGATTTATGACACATATATTATATTGTGGTGAAAAGTGTAGCTTATGCTTATGGGTTTCAAATCTATTTCAGTTAATTATTATAATTTGATCGATTTTCATTTATCATACGACGATCATATAAAAGTTACCAAATTATCAGCATTGTAAATGTATCAGATATTCATATAGAATTTACCTGGCACATTTTCAATCATATAATTTTCAATGGATTATCTTATAGCGCAAATTTATAAGATTTCCACATAACAGGAATATGTCATATTGGTTCAGTGTACTTTCGGATGACAGGTCCGACAGTGCAAGCTTGTTGTCTCTTTCATCCTGCCGTTGTTCTTGGGTAGTAACGAGTGTCACGCTGTTGCATCGAGGCTTTGCTTGTCCTGTTTTACATTACATTGTACTTTCACAGCAGAAGGTTTTGTCTCTTTTGTTTGCAGTTTTTGGAACGTGATAGTCGGATATGTATTGCTGTCTTTCTCTTTTGCGGGTTATGGTCGGTTGATAAAAGAGAGCTGCTGCTTCGATTTTGATTTTTTTCAGTTTTCTGGTATTTTTAGTGATGGAGAGGGGAAGGTTGCCGTGGCAATGTGCTGAAAAATACGAGTGTACTAGGGTGGATGATATACTTGAGTGTTTATAAGATCGATATACAGGTTGATAACACGATAACACATTTTATGAAACTTTTTTGCGACTCAAAGAAGTCATTGGATGAAAATTTCGTTGATAAAGATAAAAATATTGATTACTGTTCATTATAGCATATTACCTTACATTGCGTAAATTATGTTTAATCACTTTAAAAGCGTACTCCAACATAATAATTTTTTTTTCGATTTCAGAGGACTAGTGAAAAATCATAGACAATATATTAAAATTATTATCGTTGATTTTTTTTTTCAGATCTTCGTTGATGATATATAAACCGGTGTATATTAAAGTAATTTACTATTTTTGTAATGGTTAATTACTTTATGTGCCTACAGTACGCACAATAATTCATTTTTAAGAATTTCTTTGCATGGAACACGATTTTTTGTCGTGAAACAGGATCTTGACTCCATATCATAAAAATAAACTTCCTTCAGTTACACTGCTACAGCCAACTCTCCCTTATTCGATATCTCCTGATGGTCCCTTGAATATCTAATTAGGAAGAGTTGACTGTATTTAAATTTTATTGTTATACATGTCATTTAATAAACTATAATTCTGCATCTTTTTATATCGATATGTATATCATGTTTAATCATACATTTATATCATTCATACATTTCAAACTATACAGTATTTAAATTTAAATTGAGGAAGAAATTATCCTCCTCCCGCTATCGTCACGTTTTACGTGATTGGTTGTCACAGAATCTTACAAACCTCACTCAACTCCCTTAGAGCGCGACATAATATATTCATCATCCCATATGGAACTGTTAAGGAACTAATACATATACCTTATAATGAATCAAGGTTGGAGATGAAGTAGCCTATGGCTAAAAATCTCCCTAATAAAGACAAAGAAAAAAAAATCAGGGTTCATATAAACATTTTTGTAGGTAAATTCTTTTATATTTTCAGTTTATATGTATGTTTCGCTACACCATGTTTTCTACAATTTCATATTATTATATTGTATTGCATAGTTGTTATATTTTATTGTATTATTTCAACTATGTCATTCGTTATTTTTCAGCCTTGTACAACCATTTTCAACTTTATTATTTCATAAATAGGACGAAGGTGCAAGACGAAGCATACGTTATTTTTATTTATCCATTATTTCTATATAAGATCATATTATTTGTATATATATATATATTGCAATGCACCAGAGATAATAATTTGGATACCAATGAATAACATGTCAAGTTATTTAATTATTTCATACAGGGTTATCAGTATATATAACCATTGTTGATATATTCAATAGTATCCTTTGTGAATAAAATATTCCATGTCCAAATAACCTCGATTTTTCGATCTATTGATTCATTACATTAGTATATTTTCAAAAAATTCCATTGTACATGAAAAAAGTATGTGTATAAGTCCCAATAAAATATGGATTAATAGAAGTTGAATTGCAATAAATTAAAATCTAGGTTATTTGTATTTTGTATTTTCCTATATATTTTATATACATATTAAATATGACATTATATATATAAATTTATATTCAAAAATTTCTGGGACGGGAGGGAGCATCAGGGCATCATTGAAGTTGTAGCTGGACAATGGAGTGGAGTGCCAACCGGAGTCTGGGAGGAAATGTGTACTGTCATTTTAGATAGTAATATTTCACTCCAACAGTTGCAATGAATTTGACGCGCTCTTCTCAAGCAAACCAGCCCGTTGAAAGCTTAACAAGTATTGCGAATTTTGTTATTCGTTTTGTTGGATCATATTGATGGAAGGAGATTCTCTTATTCCAGCGGGTTTCGCGTAAGTGTCTCTGCTTACGGGCCCGTCCAACCCATTTTTGCCCTTCATACAGCAGTATGTTGAATTCAGAATGATGACGAAATTTGATCTTGCTGTTAAGTGGAGCCGCCCCAACAAACAATTTTAGCTGCAGACTAGCTTATACAGGCAAAAATTAGCTGTACAAGCCAATTTTTGGCTGTATAAGCTAATCTGCAGCTAAAATTGTTAGTTGGGGCATGCAAGGCAAGACCCAAGCTAGGATGGTGGCTACTTACATACATACAACATAATACCGTCTACGAAAGCTCGGTTATCATAACTTTACACTGCATCCAGTGATCGCTAATTTTAAATGTTTAAAAAGAAAGAAAAAAACTTTCATTGATTTTAAATTACTTTCAGTTTATAAGTATTCTTACCATTCATGAGCTCCACAACAGCAACAGTTTCGTCAGAAATAACTTCAATGTTTCCGTCTGCCATTATCTGCAACTAAAGACCAGCTTCTTCGTCTGATGGCTGATTTGTACTCGTAGAATTATTTTCTAAAAAATGGGGGCCATGCAACATAACATAACCGAAGCTACCATGATATAACATGAAATAGTAATCTTTTTGTTGTCAAATGAATCAGCATTTCTATTGATATTACCATATTCAGACGACATTATGGTAAAATGGCGGGAATATGAATTAATCATTTTAATCATGGATGTTGTTAATAATACCATGTTGAGTTTTGAGGGGAGCATAGTAATTTTGACCAAATCACAGTACTGTTGAGAAGATTATCGGTAGATTTTACTATGACCTGGCATGGTATAATTAAACAGTTTTAAACTGTACGTGATACCATACAATTTTTATGAGTGGCCTTAGGTTCGCCTACACCATGGTTGTTACACAGTTGACCGTGCACAAATAATCAGCCAAGTGTAGTGCGCAGCCAAACTCTGGATCATTACTCCTTTAGAATGTTTTCTATCAACTGGATATCAGACTTATATTAGACTTTTCTTTCATTTTCAGTCTCCTGTACCTTTTCAACCATATGTCGGCCAGCGAGGATCCAAAGGAGGGATCGTCGTAGATGGTTACATATTTCAGGTAGACAAAGCAACATCCACCAGCACTTACTACAAATGCGCGAACAGATCCGCTTGCCGTGCCCGATTCGTCGTAAGGTAATTTTTTTCTGTAACCTATCCGACAAACTTCAACAGAATTCATCAGTGTTGGAAGCAGGAGATGGCAGCCCTATTCCACCTCTACACTGAACCAAATCATCCGCCTGTGGCAGAATGAAATCGCATTCAATTGTACTCGAATTCCTGTGTTTCCAATTACCGTATGATAAAACCATTCGGATGATTTTCTGCTCAAAAACGGGTGTATTGCATATGACTAATGAATGAACATAGTTGTAGTTTTAATATGCAGGTCATTCAGAGTATATATGATAAACGAACACACTTAAATTTTTTCGCCGAGATTCCAACAGCCGAGTAGTTATGCAATTTATTTTGCTGAGATTCAGTAAAACAATCAGCTAACAAATAAGATTTTACTGAGATCTCAGCTAACAAACATATATTTTGCAAACATATCAGCAAAAGTAAACGCCGAGGTAATCGGCTGTTGGAGATTTTACCGAGCTAGATTAAGTGTGTAATAAATAGCTTTCAACTCGAAAACAGATAGATGGTCTTTTGATGAAGCTTCATAACTAAAATCATTTGATTTCTACCATCAAGCAGCTCACACTGATCCACATCGCCACAATTGAATGAATCATCATTAACCTGAATTTGTTTTCAAGATTTATATTACCGTTTGACAACACCATTCGGGTTCAGTAAAAAGCACATGAAAAACGTGAAATATTCTCTAAGAAAGTTATTCAAAGTGATTTAATTGTTCAGATGTAAGATTATAATTTGCCATCTGCCTTTGAAATGTATTGATTGAATAATAAATTAAGCAATGAGCATTTAGAACGCCGAATTGGGACATCATACCCGACCGATAGAAAGCGGTTGAAACAGATAAGTATTGCCCAGATATAAAATTATGACATAGATAAAGCTCCGTTTTCCGTATTTCAGTTCTTGTTTACATCGGGCTGTTAAATCACGTCTGTGGAATGTTCGAGGGAAGAACAGTTCTATGAGTTACTATGAACAGAATGCGAAGGACATAATATTATGTATACGTAGAACTTAACGGCAATATCGTTTCTGGTAAGCTATCTTATTATGTTTTCTCTGTAAAGTAAAATGAAAATTAAATTAATAATCCATCATGATCATCATTCTTCATCCGAATTACCTTCACAGATAATTTATAAACAATAATCATAGAAAATTAATATTAGAAGCATCTTGATATCCAATCGAATACCATTTGATTAGTGTATGCTCAAGACCGAAATCGACCCACAATCATCCAATATTGTGGTGAACTTCATTTGAACTGTGTTGATCCTAGAAGCAAATGAATCGAAGGGCTTGGATGAGGCAATAATCATTCGATGCAAGGATGATGTTTTGGTTCAGTGTATTTGATTTACAGCATCCAACATATTTATGTGTCCCATTGACATGCTTATATTGGAATAATCTAGATTGAGCCTTACTGACATCTCGATTTTGACGGCTTCTAAAACATGGCGGCATAGCAGGGAGTGGTTTGACGCATCATATATAAGTGATAACGGTTAAGGGCTATTCATGTATTACGCAATGCTTAACTTGGAGTCTAATTTTACTGGAATGCGTTAAAATAATGTAGTTGATACATATTTAATGTAGATGATACATATTTAACTTCTGAGTAAATTTAATCAAAAGTACTGTTTATAGAGAATAATTACAGAATATGTTTTGGAATGACTCCTCGTTTAGTTTTCTTTAGCAACCTCACCTTGCCGAAGGTGGGAGAGCCTAATATCATGCTGTAGGCTTGCATGGAAGGCCAAGACAGTATCCCGTAGTGATGGTATCACATATTCTTGTCATTATTTTCTTAGTCAAGACGTAGTACGTTTATATAAAGGCACAGGTGATTCCGGCGGGTTTTGCCGCAATTCACTCTTTAGTTGCACGTTACGCGCCAGAAACACCAATGTTGCCTGCTGAACAGTTGACTGAGCATAATCATAAGACATCAGTGGCTTGAGTCATTAATAACTTTTGATGCTTACATTCTATCGAAAAGTGGTCTTCAAAAAAGTTTTAGCTGACAAAATTTCCTACGAGCACAGTTATCTTATTTTAAAGCAAAACGATATGGTGAATTGATAGATGGATATGAATAGAAAAATTGGGGTTCCCATAGTAATTCCCATATAAACTTCAAATGGTTTGTGCCATGTCAGTTCCTTACCAAATGAGTTCAAATTTTGGGAGGTTAATCAGGTCCCGATTTGGAACCGTTTGAGCACTGTGGAGTCTAATGTACATTATATCTCTAATCCAAATACTGTATTGTTACAATTTTACTTATCTTTCATCTTTACACCTAGAAATTATTACCGTATTAGTTAATTTTTTACCGAACTTTCATCTTCAAACTTCAACAGCTGAACGTTCTGTAATCAGTTCGGTAAACGAAATGACTTCCGAACGATCGGTAAATGGATTTTTTGATGAACTCTCAAAACTACTGAACAATAATTCGATATTTATGTACCTAACGATTCTTGAACCTTGTCCGTACGTCCGTATGCAACATGTAACTGTGGTAAATTCTTCCATGATTTACGAATGAGGAACCGAAAATCTTCTTAATAAATTATGATCAAATAAATTGGTGACATTTTGTAATTTTTATTAATGATTGAGAATAATTCGCAAAAATAGAACGATTAGGGGTATAATACGGCGTGGCAACTTTATATATCGTTCAATTGTTACTGGATGATTATCACCCATATTTTTGTTTTAGTTCAAACCGTATTTTCCATACAAATTTTTTTTTTTTGTATGGGTAATACGGTTCGAATGAAAACGAGAATATGGGTGTATACCTGCCATTTGATGAAGAAACGATGGATTACATTCATACCATTTTCAATGTAATATTGCTGAAAATGTGCGAACATCAGTGTTCACATCTTTCATACATTTTACCATACCTTTATCAACACACAGGCATGAAAATCATTTACATTCATTTGCCTCTAACTTTTGTCATTAACAGAATTCCGTAGAATGATGTTTGAAGCTTTTGTAGGTTTTGATATTAGCTTATGCATAATGAGTGAACAGAACCCACCATTGTTTTTCAATGAATGTACATTACATTCACTGAAAAACAATAACAAGTTCTGTCCGCTCTAGTTCGTCATGCTTAAGAGATACAGATTTGAGTTTTTTACAAGAGTTGTAGTTTATATATATATATAGCTTATATTAAATATATTATATTAAAAAGTTCATACATAATTTTACGGAATTCTGTTGATGAAAAAAAATAGAGACAAGTGAATGTAAATGAATGCACGAAATTAATGTAAATGATTTGCCATGCCTGGTAACACACGGCGAATTAGAACAACTCAAATTTGAGTTTAGTTTACTCATAAATTACATAAAGTGCAAGTATGCAGGGATGAGTTAATTTGATTTTCCAGGTTTATCCAGGAAATACTTCCCGAATGTGAGAAAAGTAGAGATTGGTACTACTCCTAGAATGAGTAAAGTTTTCGTCAATTTTCCTCATTTTCCGGCAGATTTTTGAGGTTTTGCACAGGAAACCATGAGGCAAATTAACTCATACCTGCACTTTTGCCGATTATGAGTGAACTAAACTCAAATTTGAGTTGTTCTCATTCGCAGTGCAGACCAAGTACAGCCTAATCAAAGAAAAAGGTACCAACAAACTTCAAAAAACATCGTTTTTTCATCAAAAACCCTTACATTTGTTGCTTTCGAAATTAAATCGTTAATAGCCCCACGGAACGAGGAGTTTGTTTTTAATTAATGTTTTTTTGACTTTTCGTTAGTTCGGGGGCTACAAGGTGTTTCAGAATGATGAAAATATGTTGTTAATCTTTTTTGTATCTTAACCCGTCTTCCATTACTATATGCTTACAATCGCTTCAAAGTATAATCGCTATGGTTTTCTAGCTTGCTCGTTCCATTTCATTGTCTATCAACTTGTACTTTTGTACATCTCACTTCAATGTGACCAAACTGCTTTAGTCTGCTTATAACAATAATTTTCATTTTAAGGGCTGCGATTGGTGTGTACACGAATAGGGACCATTCGCACCCAAACCATGGACTACAAATTGCTAAATCGGAGCTTAAGCACGCACTGAAGGAAGCAAGCTGTACAAGCTTTGAAAGTTACAGAGCAGTATTCGACAGTGTCTGCAACAGGCCAGAGTAAGTTATATTGTACAATGTATTTTTTTGTAAACAATTAAAACGGGTCAACGAATATAATGGTTCAAAAAAAAATTCGATCTCTTGGAGTAAAAATGGAGAATTCCCTACGAATTCGCAAATCGGTTTATTTTTGTATTTTTTTTATTTGGTTGAAAATTTGCAGAAACGTTCCTTATGACCGACTATGCCATTTTGCATCTTCATATCGCCAATTTGAATCCAGCCTTATTTTTGAAAAGGGCCTATAGTAAAATATCAAGCCTATCTTCAGAAAATTTTTACAACATTTTTTTGACGTAGAACTACGTCTTTGTCGACTATACTGGGGTGCAAGTCAAAAAATATGTGTGGTGAAGGAGTGTTAGGTTTTGAACGCTTGTAACTTTGTCATTTATAGATGAAATTAAAATCCAAATACGCCAATCGATAGGATTATTACATTACGAACCTGTTGAAATAAATATTTTTCCAATTTTTCTGTAATTAAACTTTTGAAAATGTACAAATGATAATTTTATCACTGATTTCGTGAAATAAGCCTTTTTCCCAAACCCAGTCATCATAAACGAATACCACTTGGTTGCACATCATTCTGCTTGAAACTGAAAAGATATAAATCAGCGCTGCTCTCATGCCACTGCTCATTACCGCTTCGGACGGCGTGGCACTCGGTCCTACATCAAGTAGGACTAGGTTAGCGGCTAAAGGTGGATCACGGCGTATCCACCACAATGAGGAATGAGACTTGAAAAAACGTGCATGTAAACCCCCCCCCCCCCCCCCGCTTTACAACCCCCTCCCCCTTAACAATAACCCGAAAAAGACATGAACTATGTATGACGATCATTTTTTTCGAGAAATAAATTTTAAGCAAAACCCCAATTAATTTTTTACATGCAGAGCCAACATTTTCAAAAAAAATATTGCCTAATAGGAGACATACACTCGATGAATTACCAACAACTGACTGTAAAACATATCTGGTACCTCTATATATGCAATTATATTAACATACAAAGTCCATCCTTTATTACATATTCTGCACAAAAGAAACTTTTTGCTCCGCCCCATTCATAAAAAAAACTGCGGGAAATCCTATCAGGTTCTGAACCTGAAAAGATATAAAACAGCGCTGCTGTCATGCTTTTGCTCATTGTCGCTTCGGACGGCGTGGCACTTGGTCCTAGCAGCAGTAAGCAGGTCTAAATCAGCGGCTTAAGGTGGATCACGACGTTACCACAATGAGGAAAAGCAATGCATGTACCCCCTCCTCCCTTCATAACAATCCCTAGCCCCCCCCCCTCAACAACCTCTCCTCCCCCACCATCAACCTCCTGGGGTGAGAGGTAATCACACTTACCACTATACTACCTGCGCCGCTATCGGCAAGCTTGGTTTCACCAAATTTGGCAAAACCAGCTACATAAAATAATAATAACAATAGTGTTCATTTGATATCATTGGAAAACATAGTTCATTTGTTATGTATTGAATAATATTGTATAATTCAATAGTTAAAATGAGTACACAACAACAGCTATTGCTAACATGATTAATAATCAAAAGGCTATATTTTATAATTAAGCATTAATCGATTTCACTCAATTTAAAACGCATGGCCTTTTTGCCCCATAGGGGTTGGCACTACCCCATTGCAGTTTCAAAAAAAGATGTAATATGACATTTTGAAAGAATCATAAACATCTATTGACGAGATTTAATTTGCATTACATTGCTGATGTATGAAGACAATAATATGAACTTGCAATACGGTGTAGAAATTCCTATAAACTATTTGGCATATATAGAACGTACAATTGTTAAAGTGGCACACTAAATACATCGAACAAACAATACTATCCTGCTTTGCTTAGGGTAACCCTAATTCATTGATTAATCTATATCTTCAAAAAGTATTGTTACTTTATTATTAAATTCTCTTTACTTACAGGCACCGTAATGCAGCTCCAAACTTAGTCTATAGTGCAGTCCAAGGGTCCATGCGGAACGCCAGAAGTCAATGCTTCCCAAGGACACCGAAATCTGCCAGCGATTTTCACTACCTGATGATGACGGAAAAAGCGGCTGGCTTGCGAACTATCTACGGCGAAACGTTTTACTACGGCTGTGTGGGAGAAGGCAAAATCACGCTCTTTTTTGTAGTGCCTGCCACTATTAACGCGTTGCGAGAGGCTCAATCGACGGTATTGTTTTTTGATGGCACTTACAAGACGAGGCCGTCAATGTTCTGCCAACTTTTTATGGCATACGCGGAAATTGGCGGCAAGGTATGTTTCGCCATATTTCAAGCTATTTTGCATTTCTGTATTTGTGAAGAATACGCATTCGCGATGATTTCAATGCACTTCACAAGACAGGTACTATCAATGAGGTACAGAGAGAGGTGAAGCAGATCGTGAAATATGGTTGCATTAGTAAACCAAAAAATCAACGTAAACGCAAGTAGTGACGTCACTAATTGCTTGTATCGTACACGGGTTTTACTCACACAACTTAACCGATTGCTTCACCTTGGTAATACAGCTCATTGAGGTACCATCACCGCTAGGTAGGGCATCAAAATATCTCAAAACATGACAAAAAATGACAAACGATCAACGAGCCAAATGATATGGCATTAATTTACTAGCTGACCCATCTTGCGCCACCTTACCCAACAAACACACACATTATGTCTTCCTGTGCTAGTTAAAAATGTACAGCTCTTAGGCCTGCCTTTGCAGAAGATTAAAACCCAACATCATGGGCGTAGCCATGATTAAAATTAGGGGGGTTCAAGAAAACATTATACATAGAATTTGGTCAGACCCCGATTAGCTGAACGCTATTAGACCGGACGGATCACTAAGTCAATCATTATTTTATCGAATCTGAATTTTCCGAAACAGAAAGTGAGAATTAAATTTAAAAAAAAATGTGATACTGTTTTAATTTATTTTTATACTCTTCTTGATTTCATTTTGATCGAGTTAACGACTAACAGAACAAAAATGAGAACTAAAAAACGGACAAGACACGACGGAATGCTCAAAGCAATTCCAATGGTAATATTCTGTTTGATGATTGTTCTGCAGGTTATTACACTATTCAATATCCAAACAGCCCAACTTGCTTTTCTTCAGCAAGAAATCCCTCAACTATTGATTTGGTCTTCACTGATTTATGTCAACTTTGTAGCCAATTGGTTACCCATACTGACTTCGGTCCTGATCACCTTCCAGTAACTTTTGAAATATCTCATGAAATAATTTCTAATCCCAACAGCTCTACTTTCAATTACTATAGAGCTGATTGGGAGCAATATCGAACATTTATGGAATATAACTTTGATCCAAATATTCCTTTGCAAACCAAAGATGATGTTAATTATGCTCTTGAATCTCTGACTACTTCTATAGTTGAAGCAAGAGCTGCCTCAGTACCAAAATGCGAGGTTAAATTCGATTCAATTATAATAGACGATGATCTTCAGCTCTTGATCCGTCTTAAAAATGTCCGTAGGAGGCAATATCAAAGAACTCGCGATCCTGCCATGAAATTTATCTGGCGGGATTTGCAAAAACAAATTAAAAAGCGATTCTCTGCCCTGAGGAACAAAACTTTTGAAAATACTATTTCCAAATTAGACCCGAGTTCCAAACCCTTTTGGAAACTCACTAATATTTTGAAAATAACCCCAAAAACCTATTCCAGCGCTTCAAGAAGGTGGTAAAATGTTGATTACAAATTACAAATTCGGAAAAAGCTCAGAAACTTACTAAGCAGTTCGAGAGTTCCCATAATTTCAGTTTGGTTCTTACTAGTCCTATTGAGAATCAGGTTGCTCTGGGAAAATATTTTTGATGATTCCTGGGTGACTGATTTGGACGAATTAAGATCTATAACTAAAAAATTTCAAAATATGAAAGCTTCAGGTGATGATGGAATTTTTTATATCCTCATCAAAAAACTCCCAGAGAGTACCTTGTCTTTCTTGGTAAAATTCTTTAACAGATATTTCCAATTAGCATACTTTCCTGATAAATGGAAAAATGCAAAACTTGTTCCAATTTTGAAGCCGGATAAAAATCCAGCTGAAGCTTCTAGCTACCGTCCAATAAGTTTGCTTTCTTTAATAAGTACTTGAACTTTTTGAAAAGATAATTTTGATGATGCTTCACATCAATACGAACTCAATTTTTGAAGATGAGCAGTTTGGATTTCGCCATGGGCATTCAACTACTTACGAGTTACCAATTTAATTCGTTCAAACAAATCTGAAGGCTGCTCTACTGGAGTTGCTCTTCTAGACATAGAAAAAGCATTCTACAGTGTTTGGCATGAAGGTTTGATTGCCAAATTGAAAAAGTTTAATTTTCCACTCTATATTATGAAATTAGTTCAAAATTATTTAACTGACAGGACTCTGCAGGTAAATTACCAAAATTCCAAATCGGAACGACTACCTGTTAGAGCAGGAGTTCCTCAGGGTAGCATTCTTGGGCCTATATTTTATAACATTTTCACTTCGGACATCCCTGATTTGCCTCAGGGTTGCCACAAATCTTTTTTCGCCGATGACGCAGGCATTTCCGCAACAAATATATAAAATGTTTGTATCCTCTTATAAACAGGAAATCCAAACTATGCCTGAAGAATAAACTTCTAATATTTAAACAAGTTTTTAGACCGGCCATGCTTTACGCTGTGCCAATATGGTCTAGTTGTTGCACTACCAGGAAAAAAGCACTTCAAAGGATTCAGAACAAAGTTCTGAAAATGATTTTGAAGTTGCCTCCCTGGTACAGTACTACCGAAGTACATAGAATTTCGAATGTTGAGACTTTAGAACAAATGCCCAACAAAATAATTAATAATTTCAGGCAAAAATCGTTGCAATCCTCAATTGCTGTGTAAATGAATGGGTAGAACAGCAAACCTGTTCGATGTTGCTACACCCGAGCATCCTTCACCGGGGTTCTACATTATTACATTATTAACTTTTTCTTATATGACGCTTTTCAAAAATCAAAATATCCACTTGATTCTTCGAGTCACAAATTGTAATCAATCAGTGTGTGGGTTTGCTAAAATGGATTGTTTATCGATTCGAAAAATATTGAATTAACCAGCGTATCTGTCACCATGTGACATGATTAAATAAATAATAATAAAGAGGAACTAATATCCCTTCATTAAATATCATAGTTATGCAGAAAAGTTTACCAACGAGCTTTATATAATGTGTACTTTCTCAAAAGTTTTACCTAACATCGTTGTTGAAACTTGTAAAAACATTCACAAACTCCTCTCGGGAACAGTGTTCGGAAAAACTCAAAAACTCAAACGTCATGCATAAGTTTATGCACCGATGAGCTTTCAGGTTCAAACATTCATTTCTTTACATGTCGGTGCTATTAATTGTTTTTACTATTGTTTGTGCCTCAGATGCAGGTTATAAAACTAACACAAGATATATGAGCATGCTATCAATTGACGTTTGAATGGTTGTTATGAGTTTAAAGCTGGAATGATTGTTCTGCGTTGTGAGATCGAAGTAGGCAGCGCTGCGAAAATGACGTGTTTTGTTTTGCTGCGTCGTTTTCGTTCTTGTGAAAATGTGGAAAATTTACAATTTCAGTGTTAAAAAGTGTTAATTGAATGTACAGAAGTTGTGTTGAAAAGTGCATAAGTGAAAATCATCAAATCCTTCCCTTTCCATTGCATGAGGTGCCCTCCGTTCCGAATAAAGCGCAGCAACGTTCAGCTAAGTTTATTTGCCTTTTAGTTCCTCTTTCCTCTATAACAGCACTTCCCAGCGTGCGGCCTGCGGCCCGGAAATATTCAAAGATGCAGCCATTTAAAAAATACAAGATTAGGAAGATTGGACAGGACTTATCCCTCTAAATTGAGACGATCATTTAAATTACTAAATACCCGTCAATCTTTTATCTAGAGGCTATTTGAGCTACGGTCTAACTCCCGGGTCCAAGCTTCTTGCGTTCATAAGAACTTATTTCATACATAATGCCACTGCCAGACAGTGGGAGTTAGATTGTAAACAAACACACGTGGCATGGCAGCCGTTTGAAATGTCATTGACCAATTCAAACGGGGAAATATTCCGCCAGAATTAAGGAGCGAGCTTTTCCATGATTTCTTGGATTCTCAGGACTATCCCGCACGGCCAATGAGATCAACTGAAATTTGAGTTCAGTTTGCTCATAATCGCAAAGGGTGCAGAAACTCAGCGATGAGTAAATGTGCCTCATGTTTTCCGTTGGAAAAACTAAAAAAAAAAAAAAAATGGCAAAGTTTTTCTTAGTCTATGAAGACTGAGAGAATCCAATCTTTACTTTTCTCATATTCGGGAATTTTTTTTTTTGCTGGAAATCCTGCAAAAACATGAGCAAATTTATTCATCGCTGAGTTCCTGAACTATTTCCGATTTATGAGTAAACTGCACAACCGTTTAAGCAAACTCAAAATTCGCTTCTTCTCGTATACAGGTAGATTTTATACATAATACCACTGCCAGACCACTGCCAGACACGAGTGTGATTGTAGATACATACAGTACATACAATAAATGAACGAATGAAAAATTGCATCAGTCAAATGTGTCAAAATTAGTCTGTTTTTTTTTTATAAAATCTTTATTCTAATCCTAACATATAAACATGTCTTACAAGCTAAGCTATTCTAAACTAATTACAGGCATTTATTTCTAAGAAGAATTTGAAGCTAGGCAAGGAGATCATATGTCATTCTGTTTCCAAAATATATTGACTAAACTGAACAAATTTTCATAGAATCAAAATTTTGTCATCCCTGCTAAACTCTTCTAAGGTTGGAGCTATCAAACTGGAAAAGGTTAAGAAGCGCATTAAACAAGGATCAAATCTGTTTAGTAAATGTCTAATAAAATAGTTCCATGACTGATTGACCGAAAAACGTTTACAAAATATATGCTCAAGATCTTCGAGGAATCCGCATGATAAGCAATTAGGGTTGTCAGCAATACCTATGCGATACAAATGAGCTCTGTGATCAATTTTCCTATTATAAAGTAAATTAGGAATAGATTTTTCATTTGAGTTCAGGTTCTTTAAGTTAATATTATTCCAGACACGTGGCCAATTGTTTTGTTCTTTAGTTTCAATAGTTGGTCTAGGCAATGATCCAATTTTATCAGAATATAGTTTTGTCATAGAAAAAGGTTGTGTTAGATCATGTTCGTAAAACAAATTCATGAAAGAAGGATACATATGTGGTAATATAGTAACAGGTTTCCTAATGACTACTGACTACTGATATTAGGCAGAATATAATTTTTCAACAAACACGTGTCGGTCGAATTAGGATTTATCCCAGGCTACTATTCTAGAAAAACGTAATTGATAGATATTGGGCGGAACGCGTCGGAATGTTTAGAAAAATAGGGCGCACGCTTGATCCGGTTTAAGATACATTGTTGACTGCTTTCGGGAACATGATTTCATTTTAATAACTTGTTTACTTGTTTAACCAGGGCTTAAGCAATCGTCACGTCGGACATAGCTTGTTATGATAGCCTGAACAATGCGTAAAGAGCAAACCGCGAAACATTGAACGTCGCGTGAAAGTGGAACTTAATGAAGGCCTAAGTACTTTTAGTTTTCGGATTAGAAAAATCATCGGTTGCAGGACAGTGTTACCGATTTATATTGGATAATCCAAAGCTATGTTGATCATTATAACATTAAATTTTGAATAACAAATGATAAGACAATCTTATTCGAATGTCGTAATAATACCTCTGACCAAGGAAAAATGATTTATATAGTTTTCATAAAAGTTGACGATACAAATACTAATGAGGAAAGGAATTCCGCATTTCCTTTTCCCAAGTCCTTTTCCTCTCCTTCCCTTCCCTTCTTCTCTTTTCAGAAAGCGAGTAATGGCGCTATAACCATATGCCATATAGGGCTAGGACAAGAGTTAGTGCTCAGGTCCCAACCGCTAGAAGAAAATGGTAGCGAGCAAGGGCGCTATAACCTAGGCGAATACAGTATTCCCTCCGTATAGGTTACGTCCGCACACCGCTCTCTGTTGTCCTTCGACTGAGGTCGGCTGGATCGATTGAGGGATGGCAGTGGGTGGGCGGTGCCGTCCACGCTTGTACGGAGGGAGGACTGTACGCTCGAACACAAGGGGTAAATACCTGTGTTCCATCCCAGGAGATCGGATAACCAAGGAGTGTACATTAACTTTCTTAGCTCTGTCACTCCCAACGATTTATATAGCCTATTTTCAAATCCTGCATACGGAGCGGTTGGTACGGTATGTCCCCGCTCTTTGATTACCTGTGGATTAAATGTTAACCACTGTCTATACTTATTAAGTAGACATGGTAAACATTCACTTCCACAAAAATTAACTAAACGCTACACAGTAGGCCTGGCCGCTTTATTGTTTGTTTCACATCCTTGATGTGCAGCAGGCATTAATAATGACAAGAAAAATGATAGATGTATCATTTTCCAGGATTCTTTCAAGTACTGGCTGTGTATGTGTAGACTAGACTAGACTAGACTAGAATGATTGTTCTGCGTTGTGAGTATGAGTGCGTGAATATGCATGAGAATCTCAAGCGTGAATTTTGTGTGTCGCATTCTCACGCGAGTTTATTCTCGCAAGGAGGCTCAATGAATGAGATTTGAGAATGATTTTCCGAACACTGCTCGGGAGTCGATAAACATTCGTGATACCGGACAGTGCATGATATTCCAAGTGAAAATTGGTTATAGCAATGTTATGGTCAGGTAAAGAAAATACTTTGTATAAAAAAAACGATGTATGGAAAATCGAAGCGTGAACTATATTGTTAATGATGTATATTTGGTACCTCTTTAAATACTTTTTATTACTGTTAGTACTTTTTAAATACTTTGGATTACTTTAATGCCTCTATAATACTTACGTATTATTTTTAAATACCGTGAACTCTTACAGTATTTTGAATACAACGCACTCAATACAGTGTTCTGCGTTCCCCTCGGTGCGGGTGGATGCATACTAAAATATGGTAAGAACATTATGTTGCATAATTATTTCATTATATTTCATATTACTTCATACTAAATGCTATAATATTAGGCTTGGGATGGCTCATTAAGGCATCATCAATTCTATAAATTAACTAATTAATGACAGCATGCCTGTGTGTGGTCTGAAATGTTGGAAGTAATGGTACGGAATGCTTTATACTTATTTTTAAATAGAAAAAGAGTTTGATTGGTCCGATATAGGCATATTAAGCATACGTAATACGTAAAAATATTATAACATATTAATAACTACATTGCGTAACTCTACGTCAACCATGCGCTGATTGTTGCACACAACCTCAAACTTTTATTTTATTTTTATAGGTCTTTCCGTTGGCGTTCATGCCATCGGAGATTGCGTCCCCGAGCGTCGAGCAATACGTAGAAATTTTAAAAAAACTTCTCACTGTTATTCCGCCGGTAACAGTGACCGGAACTTGCAGCGATTTTGAAAAATCGCTAATCAATGCTTGCCGGGCGGTTTTCAAAAATGCGACGCACCAGGGATGCCTATTCCATTTTAAGCAGGTATTTATACGGTTTGCTATGTACATTAGAGTGACCCAAATGAGTTAAATCCTGGAATTCCAAATCATACCACCTTGTGTAGAGGACCAGGAAATAATAGTCAAAATGTATGGGAGATTGAGGCACCTTTACATTTTCGACTCTTGGGAGCGCTTTAGGTGTTGAATTTTATTAATTTAAACTTTCAAGAACCTTTGGAGTATAGGGAACAACTTTGCTGAAGAATTAACCCCGAAAAGTTATTAGCGTTTGAACTCAACATCACGCGCTTTACTTTTGGTGAGGGTTTAACGCGTTATTTACGGTTTCCATTGCCAACAGGGATAGGAATAGCAATGTTTGGATGAGTATAACTTTTTTGTTTCGTCATGGAATTGGCTGAAAATTTCACATAAAGTAGAACAATCTGCGTAATTATGGAAAACATTCGTCAGGTGGTTCTGGTTTTATTTCCGGGCATCTGGGGAGGGAGCAGATGTATCAATCGTGTAGAACAAAAACAGACTTCGATAGATGGTACTGATTATTATGTTTTTTGACGTAGGATTACGTCTTTCGGCAACATATTGGGGGTGCAATTTCAAAAAACCAAAATCGGCCGCGTTACGAAAAGTGGTCAGGTTTTGAACGCATATTTCTCAAAACCATTCATGACAAATATGTCATGCAATATGTCGTTCGATGGAGACATTATTCAGTTATTTTTTTGGAGTATAGTACAAAAAGTGAAAATAGTTAAACAATTACGTAATTTACGAACAAAATAGGAATATTTAGCGAACCAATCAGAAGAGCGGACGGATGGGATGAATCTATATTCTCTCGCACGGACATCGCTTTCCAGCTGGTGCGCAAATTTGCCTTCCACAGCGCTTTCTGGCAAGACGGTCGATCTGATTGGAGCTCGGTGAAAACTAATTACGCAAGAATAGTGGATGAGTAAGAGCAGCCAAAATGTTCGTCTAGAAAAGGGTCTGCCAATTCGCTTCCACCATCAGACTCTTTGCTCGACTGTTGAGCTGTTCAGTTCGTTTTCTTTTTCGCTCGAGTTCTAGTTTCGATTCGGTTTGTGCTGTCGCGTTGCGCCGTGGAAGCGTCGCCACCTTCGCGCGTTCTGGCAAGTTTACTGCAACTTGCCAACACAAAACAAATGGTGCGTAAACGGCGTTCGACAATGTCTGGCATGATGGTCTAGTGTACAAGCTGCATAGATACAACTTCCCGATCTTCCTTGTTAAAATCATCAAAAACTACTTGTCGGGCAGATCATTCCAGGTCTTCTTGAACAATTCTCCTTCTGATACGTTCAACGCTGATGCTGGGGTTCCCCAGGGTAGCCTCCTTGGTCCTATCCTCTTTAACATCTTCACGTCAGATGTTCCGGGTGGTGGTATTTTGTCAATGTTTGCGGATGACACTGCCATCATCTATAAGGGTCGAGTGATCCGTGCTCTGACAAGAAAACTCCAATCAGGCCTGGATGTTCTGTCCGACTATTTTAAAAGCTGGAAGATTTGTATCAATGCAGCTAAAACAGTAACCATCCTGTTTCCACACTCCAATTCACCCCGGCTTGTTCCGCCTGGTAACTCAAAAGTCCACCTTGATAACACTCCCATTGAATGGTCGAGTGAAGTCGTCTCCCTTGGTCTCACCCTTGACAGCAAGTTGCTATTCCGGTCCCATGTGGACAAAACATCCACCAAGTGCAACATCTTGATTAGGTCGCTCTACCCACTTATCAACAGGAAGTCCACCCTTTCCCTTAAAAACAAGCTTGCCGTCCACAAGCAAATCATTCTCCCCACCATTGAGTACGGAACGCCAATCTGGGAGAGTTGTGCCATAGAGGTAACTCTAAGAACACTGGGTCCCGAAGAAAATCATTATTATTTTTGGCTCACTCAGTACCAGAACAACGGTCCCAAGCAGTCCCAAGCTATTTCACTCACCCCTGCATGTTCTGCATGAATCCACACACCCCTGATGTTATCTGTCAAACTTTCATAGCGAATCAAAACAAACATAGTGTAGTAATAGAATTTCAACTAGAATAGGGTACGTTAATCGTTTGCTTGGGACCAATAGGCTACTAAAGTGGTGAGCCAATTTAAAATCGTTAGTTTCGTATTGATTGTTGGTACTAGTGTATAATAAATTAGATCTGTTTCGTAGTTTGTAAGGTAGACAGCAAATAATGTCTCTAGGTTAAGTTAGATGTAGGAAATTCAATTTTTCTTCTAGGAACAAATTATACTTTTATGATATTAGATAGTTTTAGTATCTAACACTATGCCTGTTCGCAATGAAAACCGTACATAGCGCGATAGGCTCGCACCTCGCTCTCACCAAAAGTAAGGCGTTCCCCATAAACCAAAGGTTGAAAATTAAGAAAATTTAACGCCTACAGCGCTCCCTACAGTCGCACCGCCATAAATTTTGACGAATTTGATTTTCAGGATTATTTCTATATAACGGTGCAAAGGTTTACAAAGTTATGGACAACAGATTCATTTATCTTCTCGTTATCGAGTATCCTTTTAATAAATTATCAATTATAGGCGGTCAGGCGGTACATAATAAATAAAATGGGGGTACAGCAAAGTAATGCGGACTACGCAGAGTACCGCATTGCAATGCAGCTCCCCCATTTGCCTGCGGATAAGATAGCCGAAGGCGTTCAAATCGCTATCCGCCATATTAAAGGCAAAACACGCGATCGAGAAGCAGCAGAGTCGTTCGAAAATTACCTCCGCATGCAGTGGCTCCGGAACATAAACCCGCACGTGTATTCAACATATCACGTGGAACACACGTCCAATAATGCAGCAGAATCTTATCATTCCAAAATGCTTCGCGAAATTGGAGTGTCACCAGCTGCGTGGATTTTTGTTGGTTTGTATACTTTTATAAAAAGGGCATATCAGTGCTAACATTTGAAAACGGCGCAAAAGCCATTTGTAAACAAATGGTTTGTGGGCCCTTTACTCGCTACCCGAAGAACTCCCACGCAAACCAACAGCATCGTCAGGAAGGGGAAAATTTCCCCTACCCGATGTTGCTGTTGTGTCGCTTGGGTGTACTTCAAGTAGTGAGTAAAGGGCCCACAAACCATTTGTTTACAAATGGCTTTTGTGCCGTTTTCAAATGTTAGCACACATCTTTTGTAAACAAACCGTTCTAAAGCCCTTTCCTCACCAAGCGAACTGCGGCCACGCAAACCAACAGAAGAAAGTTTCCCCTATACGATCATGGTTTTCGTTTGCGTAGGCGGCCTTCGTTTGGGTTGGAGAGAGGGCCATAAAACGGATTGTTTACCAATGTTGTAAGGCCCTTTTCTATTCTCCAGTACTTATTCCTTGGCGCAATATGTCGTGCGATATTTTTTGCCACACTCCATATTGGGATAATCTGAGTTATCGATTATAGTGGTTCAAAATATTAATTTTGCTCCACCAAGCTCAATTGATTCCAAATCCGGTCCAAATAATTCCCTCAAAATTTGGGAATTACTATGGGAAAAGTGAACTTTATGTTCTCCTCGTCCTAACATTTTGCCATAATAGTTTACCGGCATGTTTGCCATCTGTACCTATAGGAAAACTTCTCAGCTACAACTTTGCTCAAAACCACTTTTTGATTCAATGTCCTAATAGTTAGTTATTAATTAATTAGATAGATGATGTTCTTCTGATATGCTCCATCAACTACTCAGCAGGCAACATTGCCAAAAAAAACTCCAGGCAACTTTCAACAATTAATACGAAACTAACGATTTTAAATTTGCTCATGACTTGACGAGTCCATTGGTCCCAAGTACATTCATAAGCGTATCCCATTCTCGTACTAGAATCTGTGTTTGTTTTGATTCGCCTTATAAATTTGATATAGTTTAATGAGGGATTCGTGGATTTTCTTAAGTTCCAAGGGGTGCTTCAATAAGCTTGGGATCGAAAGTCTGGTACACTAATACCAGGGGGTTCTGAAGAAACATGATCAATTTGTTGGAACAGGAAGTGGTAGACCTTCGGTTGAAAGCTAATTGAAGCACCCCTCAGAACATAGGAAAATCCACGAATCGCTCATCAAACTTTGTCAAATTGATAAGGTGAATCAAATTTTTGTTGACAGACTCTAGTACGAGAATGGGGTACGCTTATAGACATACTTGTGACTAGTGTTTCCTACCCGGGACATCCCGTGATACTTTTCGGTGAAAATTACGGATAATTTCCCAGAATATTTAAAAAATACTTCTAAGGAAACCGTTTGTAGAAAATTTCCTGATGAATATAAAGATCTTCTAAGGCAAATCGTAAACACATTCCGGAAGAAGTCGAAGAAATTTAGCGAGGGCAGTTAGAACAAATTTCTGGGGGAAGTCAGGAAGAATTCTAGGGAAAATTAGAAGACATTTTCATGCTAAGTCAAAAATAAGTATCAAAGAAATCTGAACAAACCTTCGGAAATGACTAGAAAACTTCTGGGTAGATAAAAACGATTGAATAAAAACTTCCAATGAAAACAAGTTTGATGAACGTGCCAGCAAAAGTCAACCGAAGCTATTGTAGCAGCCAGAAGGACTTCTTGAAGAAGCTTCTGATGAAAACAGATGAAAAGATATTGTAAAGTTGAAAATAAAACTTTTTGGAGAACACGGAAATATTTTCAGGGTTAGGTCAAAAGAAACTCCCGAGAGTAGTCGTAAAAAGTGCGAGGCAGTTTGAAAAGAAAATTTCCTATAGAAGCAACAATATTTAAATGAAGTGGTTGAACTATTCCATATTTAGAAAATCACGCTAAAGAAGTTGAAATTGAATATTTAATAATAATTGCCATGAATTCAACTCAATACTTTATTAGTTCCTGAACTAAAATATTTCCCGTTTACCGGGAATTCCCGGGATGAGCCATCAACTGTTTCCCTTTCCAAAAAAGTCCGTAAAACTTGGAGCCAATGGGCTAGTCAAGTACTGAGCCAATTTAAAATCGTAAGTTTCGTATTGACTGTTGCTACTATTCATAGATGCAGTGTTGCCCTAAAAACAGTTCACTGATAATATCAGATGGAAAAATTTCCCAGAAATAATTATTTTTATATATTTTTCGTCAACCGACGTAGACTAGTACAAATATATATATATATATATGTATAGTCGAAACAAAGGAAAATAGCAAGCTTACCCGTAAATCATTAAAAAGATCACCATAGTAATTATCATATAAACTACAACTATTAGTGGAATATGAGATCGTAACCAAATGAGCTCGAATTGAACTTGGTGGTGCAAAATCGATATTATAATTGTAGTTATGAAATACTTTTTACTAATGTTCGTTTGCAGAAAAAATCATTGCGATGGCGAAAACGGTAAGCTATGAGATCGGTCGTGTGCAGAGTCTGCCGTACCGACGAGAACAGAGCGACCGGCAGAAACTGGTATTGAAGTGCACCCATATGTACGACAGTGATGGTGACATTCTTAAATTTCTTATTTCTTTAAATACAAGCACTAAGAATTTTGAGTTTGGTTGCATACCAGTAGTGGAAAACGAGGCATTGGAAGCACTAGAAGGTACACATTTGTTTAATTATCTACTTTGAAAATCAATTAGTACTTTAGCAGGTATTATTACACCGATAAACCGACACCGGCCGGTCACAACTTTTGAAAACTATCCACCTCCCCCCCCAACTGCTACTTCATTTATGCATGTTCCCTAAGCGATTATTGAGAAATTGGGCAACAGTGGAAATCAGTGCTGTGTCTCAACATTTATGTTACTATTTTAATATGCAGGTAGGGCTTCATCAGAATGCTATAAAAAGCACTTAAAAAAAACGTGGACATTTATGCACCTATTTCGTAATTGATCGTGAATATCTCGCGATCAGAACAACGCTTGAAATCCATCTATTCAATTCACGGTACATCTTTTATCTACCGATTGAATTAAAAAATATTTAATTTTTTTTTTTTAAAGATTTCGTGCGTTTTGTAATCGCACATCCATTATTTTGCATAAGAAAACGGGGTGTTTCTGTTGTGGAAAAAAGGGATTTCCTTATCACAGATTACAGATTTCTGTACCAAGCGCTGAAATTATCAGACGGTACCTCTATTTATGCTTTTAGATTAGCTATGTAAGTCCATCCTACTTGGAAAATTATGCTATAGAACGGTTTATAAATTCCCGGATTTTTTGCTGATGGGGGCGAGGCATAGCAAGCCGTTTGATTGCATAATTCTCCAAGTAGGAGGGACTTGCAATGCTAATCTCTTAGCATAAATAGAGGTACCGTCAAGTTTTTTTTTTCTTTTTTTTTTTTTAACGTGCTGATCGTTTGTTGCTAGACCGTCTAGCAGTGTAGTTCGGTTTTTGCTCGCTCTGTCGAGTCGGTTTTTGCTCGCTCTGTCAGTAGTGTCGGTCGCCTCGTGTGATGGGAAGACAGCGCTCCCGGAGCAGGCTAAGAGAGAAAGCAGAGAAGAAGAACAGTGATGAGGGTAGCTCAAACAGGTACGCTACTCTTCCCACCGATGTTGGGAATACCCCCCGGTCCTGGTGAAGCGGACGAAGAAGAGGAAGAAGAATCAAGGCCAGTCCGATGTTACCGCAACAAACGCCAGCGACATCGGTGAATTCGGCGACGCCGTCGAAGCCGAGAATTCTGCCGGCGTGAGTGCGGCAAAAGTGAAGCTCCCTCCACTGGTGGTGAAGGCAGTGCCACTCAACACGCTCATTGGCGATTTTGCATCGCTGGGCATCGCAGCTGAGTACAAGCTGAGCAGGATCGGCACGAAGGTAATGCTCCAGACGAAAGCGGAATACGAAATCGCCGTCAAATTCCTGAAGGATTCCTACGCGGAATACTTCACGCACGACATCCCCGGTGAGAAGCCCTTCAAAGTAGTCATCAGGGGCCTACCGAACTTTGACCCCAAGGCGATCGAAGAAGAAATCAAGGACCGGTACAAGCTGGCCCCAAGAGCTGTCTTTCGAATGACGAGGAGAGACGAAAACGTGAAGACGTACCCGGATTGTCTTTTTCTGGTGCACTTCAAGAAGGGAACGGTGTCGCTGAATGCGGTGCAGGCTATCCGCTCAATCTATTCCATCATCGTACGATGGGAGCCATACCGTGGAGGCCATCGCGATGTGACCCAGTGCCAACGATGTCTGAACTTTGGACACGGCACTCGTAACTGCAACATCAAGCCACGCTGTAGCAACTGCGCCCAAGAACACGCCACTTCCAACTGCCCTGCGGATGGAGCCGTGGCTTTAAAATGCGCCAACTGTGGTGGTGCACATCAAGGTTCCGACAGACAGTGCTCTCGTCGTCAATAAAGGAATCAAGTTCTACACCCTTCCTCACATCCGCACCTCAATCATCGAGGCCCTTGGCGTGGAGGTGGAGTCGTCGATTACGTCCAGTTCATCGCCGTCTACTGCCCTCGACAGTGTGCCGCCAGCAGCGGTCTAGCGGCTAAATTCAAGAAGGACCTGTCCACCATCACCCGTACCGGTTCCCGCTTCGTTGTTGGAGGAGATCTGAATGCTCGCCATGAGGCCTGGTGGAACTACCAGCAGAACCAGAACGGTTGTCTACTGTTCGACCACTCGCAGCATGGGCTGTATTCCGTTTGGTTCTCGGACGAGCCAACTTTCATCTCACCGGCGGGCAACCCATCGACGCTAGACCTGTTCCTGACAAATACCGGCTTGTCCACGCCGGTAGCCTTGAACGAACTCAGCTCCGACCACCAACCGGTGGTGGTGGTGGCTGAACTGGGCTGCAACGTGGCCCCTGCTCCAAGCCTGCGCAAGGACTACTACCGCGTAAACTGGGCCCAGTTTGGACGATTGGTAGACAGGCACATCATTGACAACCCGCCGCTTGACACCGTGGAGGACATCGACCGAGCGTTGGAGGGACTCCACCAAGCCATAACCGTGGCTGACAAAGCGTGCGTCCGACGAGTTCCTGTAAGGGGTAAGTTTATTGCCATTGATTCCCACACCCAACTCGAGAAGCGTGGAGGAAACGTGAAATGGCCAATCTGAACAAGGAGATTGCTTCCAGAATGGTCTCACTTCGGAACGAAAGTTTCGGGCGGCTCGTCCAGAATCTGGACGATCGCTCTAGACCATTCTGGAAGGTGGCCAAGGTCCTAAAGACGCACCCCAAACCCATTTCACCAATCAAAGATGAAAATGATGACGATCGGCTCATAATCACCCCTCAGGAGAAAGCAAATGCGATTGGTGAGCATATTGCCAAATCGCACTTGCTTGGCTCCAGCATCCAAAGTCCGCTCGAAGATCAGGTTACGCAATGCGTACTCTTACCTTGATCCCTCCCCTTGTGCCATCCCTCCGGAGGATAGGATCTCAGTGGAACAAATTTGCTCAGCGCTGAAATGCACCAAAAACATGAAGGCCCCCGGGTTTGACGGAATATTCAACCTAGTGTTGAAAAACCTCAGCATGAAGGTTCACTCTCTGCTGGCCGCTGTCTTCAACAGATGCTTGGAACTGCACTACTTTCCAAGCGTCTGGAAGACAGCGAAAATCATACCTATCCGCAAACCCGGGAAGGACCCAACATTAGCTTCAAGCTACAGTCCAATCAGCCTCCTTTCAGCGCTGAGCAAATTGTTCGAGAAACTCATTCTCAATCGTTTGCTCAAGAATGTCGAGGAAAACAACATTCTCCTTCCGGAACAGTTTGGGTTCAGGAAGGGCAACTCCACCAATCACCAGCTAGTACGGGTGATGAATAACATCCGAAGTAACATAGCTGTATGCAAGTCCACAGCCATGGCATTGTTAGACGTTGAGAAAGCGTTTGACAATGTCTGGCACAATGGGCTTGTATACAAGCTTTGTAACTTCAACTTTCCTTTACATCTTGTAAAAATCACCCGTAACTACCTTCAGCAAAGGTCGTTCAAGGTATCGTTAAATGGTTGTCTTTCCGACACGTTCTCCATCCCAGCAGGTGTTCCGCAAGGAAGTCTGTTGGGCCCTTTGCTTTACAGCATCTACACTTCCGACATTCCTCCCCTCGGAGACGGTTGCGTGTTCTTCCTGTTCGCAGATGATACCGCAATAACCTTCAAGGGTAGGATGCCACGCGAAATAACAAACAAGCTTCAACGATGCCTTGACGTCTTTGCTGATTATGCCACCAAGTGGAAAATCAAAATCAATGCCTCCAAAACACAAGCAAACATGTTCCTCCATCGACAATCACCCAAACTAAAACCGGCTCCATCTTGTACTATAATCATGGATGGTACAAGGGTTGAGTGGTCCGCCGAAGTTACCTATCTCGGGATGTTGTTCGATGAAAAGCTCCTCTTCCGTTCGCATGTAGAGAAAACCGTAGTCAAGTGTTCTGCTTTGGTCAGGTGTCTGTATCCGCTGATCTGTCTCAGATCCCGCCTCTCAAGGGTGAACAAACTGGCTGTCTACAAACAAATTAAATATAGCACCTGCGATCCTCTACGCAGCTCCGGTGTGGGAATCATGTGCACAAACTCACAGGAACAAAATCCAGGTTGCTCAGAACAGAGTGCTTAGGATGATCCTCGATCGTCCTTTCGAAACAAGAATAACGGACCTCCACCAAGAGGCGGATATTCCCAGAATAGATTCAAAAATTGATGAAATTAGGAACAAATTTATTCAAAAATGTACGCAATCTGAACATGCTTTGATCAGTAATTTGTACATAGTAACTAGGTTAGGTGTATATAGTAGTTATAGGTTAGTTGTAGTTGTAAATAGTAGTTATAAGTAGTCTCCTTTTTCAATTTAAAACAAACCAATCCCACCAAGGTGGTCATACTCTAAAACAGGCCTGATAGGACTAGAAACTGTACTTAATAATTAAAAACTTCAAATGCGCCAAAGTTGAAAAGACGCATCTGTGTCACTTGTTAATTCATACATGTAAACCCCATTAATACAAGAAATAAAGATCATTTAAAGTTAAAAAAAGACACAAGAAACAGTTATGTACTCAAGTTATTAACGAAAGAGAAAGTCGACGAAGATAATCGGTCAATGTTACTTAGGACCTAATGCAATGTCCTAATGTCAGCTTGAATATTACCTGAAATTTGTTCAATGTAGTGCTGTAACAGGTTGTATTGGCAATCAAAAGCAACAGCAAACGCACCGAGAAATGTTAATCCAAGCGAGTAATTAACAAACGAGAGAATCGATCATCGCTGATACGCCCTTATGCATACTCACTGTCGAATTTGTAATCTGTGATAGATATGGAAGTCGCTTTTTCCCACCACAGAAACGAACCGTGTTCTTATGCCAAATGATGGATGTTGTGCGTCCACAAAACGCAAACGAAATCTTTAAAAAACAGCAATATTTGGTAATTTGTGTGCATTTGTTTTTTTTTGTGTGCATTTATTTTTAGCGTTCGAAAGTCCTACCTTTATATCTGATTGTACATTAGGAATCAAATGTAATAGAATATGTATTCGCATTTTTATGAGGTCCTTAATTTAACCAAGTTTTACTAATACCCCGGACAGACTACGGCTTATATCATGTAATATGGGCTGTCTTGCAATGAGCACTCATACATGGGATTTCCAGTAAAAACTAGATATATGAGTGCTCATTGCAAGACAGCCTATATTACATGATATAAGCCATAGTCTGTCAGGGGTATAAGAAGGAAATCCAAAATATGTACATAGGACTGAAATCATAGGTTACTTCTACTGGATTTTAAATCAATATCAAAAAAAAAAATCACGAGAATTTCACTACACAGCTTAACGTAGGCTACGTCAACCATGCGGTCGTGTCTTGTACACAACCCCACCAATTTTTTTTATCTAGATAAAAATACGATGGTTTTGACAGATTTGAATCTGTCGTTATATATTTTCGAGCAAAATTAAGTTTAAGTTGCATGTCGGTTTGTCGGTGATTATTATGCGTTCAGTCTGTTATAAAAGCGCCTTCCTATTTTAGTTCTGAAGCGTAATGAAACAAAACAATATTTTCACTAGGTATTTATCATGGCTTTTGTTTTTTCTTTCCGCTAGGCTGCATCATATGCACAAAGAGTGCATCGATTTCGCTTGCGCCATGCATGCACAAACCCTATTGTGGGGTTTGTGCATGGAAAGCAGTAGCCAACAATAACAATTGCCCAATATGCGAATCGCCGTGGAGTGGGCTGATAAAGGATGCTGAGGTAAGTAACAGACCTAAGTAGGGTTTTCTATTGTTTAATCTAAAAGGGTTATCCGCAATTGGTAAACATAGACTTTAATGCAGATTACTAAGGGGAAAGTTCCAAGTTTGATAATTATAATGATAGACAACTGTAGAAATAGGGATTTCTTTTCTTTGTTTAGTGTGAAAGAGGAAACATTTCAATACCAACTGCTGTCAAAACATTCCAGATCCGACCGCTAGAAGCACTGCAGTAAAATAAACAGTGCGTCCAGATATTAAATGACTCGAGCTTAACTTCATCGGTCTTTTATGAATTTGTATAAAAATACAACATGTTTATAAATAATGTATCCAGGGTGCCAGAACCTTTCAAAACTCTAGTCATTGTCTTCAAGTTTTATGTTTTTCTAGTTGTATTAAAATTAAGTTAGTTTTTTCATTCGTGGATCTTTTTAATATCCCTAGAAACACGTCAAAATTTTTTTTTTTTAATTTTCCCACGTATTTTGTTAGGAACAAGTTTCAAGTTATCTCATTCAAATTATTGATAAAGATGTCGGAAATCATGCTCAATAACATTAGGAAGAAAACTAAAATTAATAATTAACAAGGGTGGAAAAGTGATAAATTAATTTTTTTACGAATTGTTTAAGGAATCTAAAGATTGCAAGAAATTAATGATTCATTAATTAATGAAACCTCGCACTTCAGTTTATTCCGAGGGGGGACAGTGTAGAACAGGAAATAAGCACACATTTAAAATTTCTGATTGTAAAGGGGATATAAAAAATATTAAGAAATCCACAATAATAATGTTAGGAACCTAGAACTGAACAAAACGAGGAAGCTTCTTACCAAGAAATGCTTCAATAATTGGTTGGGAATGACTATTTAAAAAAGTTATCAACTAGATTTCTTCAATCGAAACTTTTTCTGCCTCCAGCTCTTCGATGATAATTGAGTTATAGGAAGCTGAACACATTTTGACGACGTTTACAGGCACGCGATCAAAATGGCGAATTAGGGCTTCGATTTCTAGATGCTCTACTATTAACAAAAAAGTATATTTGAAAGCAACATAACTAAGTTAATGTTGTCTTTGAAATAAAGCATGCCTTTTGTTAATTTAACATTTTTTTCAATGTTGTAATGTTGTAATAAATATTGGTATTTCAAAAAAGTTAAAGGTGTTTTAAGAAAACCACCAAAAATTCTCGGCGTTTGCAGCTTCTTAAATTAAGCATTCACATTCATAGATAACATGTAACATTTTACAGATATAGTTTTTCTTGCTTCCACTCCTGAGCATCAATCACGCACATCTTTCGCCACTCTCTGCTTACCATCCGCTCGGCAAGACCTCCACATACCGACCGCTCCATCAAGACCTCCACTAGCCAACCGCCCGGCAAGACCTCCACATACCGACCGCTCCATCAAGACCTCCACATACCGACCGCTCCATCAAGACCTCCACTAGTCAACCGCCCGGCAAGACCTACACATGCCAACCGCTCCATCAAGACCTCCGCATTCGACCGCATCGCAAGACCTCCGCTTGCCAACCGCCCGGCAAGACCTACACATGCCAACCGCTCCATCAAAACCTCCGCATTCGACCGCATCGCAAGACCTCCGCCTGCCAACCACCCGGGAAGACCTCTGCTTGCCATCCGCCTGGCAAGAATTCCGCATGCCGACTGCTCTGCTGGGTCTGCCCATGGATTTTCTCTTCAAAAAAACCTAAACCTACTTAAAATGTTTTTTTTTTTTCAGATAGCGCCGAACTTGCCATGCAAGACTTCCGATCGTCATTCGCTCCGCAAGACCTCGCATGCTGACCGCTCCGCAAGACCTCCGCTTGCCAACCACTGCTTGCCATCCGACCGGCAAGACTTCCGCATGCCGACTGCTCTGCTAGGTCTGCCCATGGATTTTCTCTTCAAAAAACCTAAACCTACTTAAAATGTTTTTTTTTTTTTTTCAGATAGCGCCGAACTTGCCATTGTTATTCGCTCCGCAAGACCTCCGCTTGCCAACCACCCGGCAAGACCTCCGCTTGCCAACCACCCGGGAAGACCTCTGCTTGCCATCCGCCTGGCAAGACTTCCGCATGCCGACTGCTCTGCTGGGTCTGCCCATGGATTTTCTCTTCAAAAAAACCTAAACCTATTTAAAATGTTTTTTTTTTTTCAGATAGCGCCGAACTTGCCATTGTTATTCGCTCCGCAAGACCTCCGCTTGCCAACCACCCGGCAAGACCTCCGCTTGCCAACCACCCTGCAAGACCTCTGCTTGCCATCCGCCTGGCAAGACTTCCGCATGCCGACTGCTCTGCTGGGTCTGCCCATGTATTTTCTCTTCAAAAAACCTAAACCTACTTAAAATGTTTTTTTTTTTTCAGATAGCGCCGAACTTGCCATTGTTATTCGCTCCGCAAGACCTCCGCTTGCCAACCACCCGGCAAGACCTCCGCTTGCCAACCACCCGGCAAGACCTCCGCCTGCCAACCACCCGGGAAGACCTCTGCTTGCCATCCGCCTGGCAAGAATTCCGCATGCCGACTGCTCTGCTGGGTCTGCCCATGGATTTTCTCTTCAAAAAACCTAAACCTACTTAAAATGTTTTTTTTTCAGATAGCGCCGAACTTGCCATGCAAGACTTCCGATCGTCATTCGCTCCGCAAGACTTCGCATGCTGACCGCTCCGCAAGACCTCCGCTTGCCAACCACTGCTTGCCATCCGACCGGCAAGACTTCCGCATGCCGACTGCTCTGCTAGGTCTGCCCATGGATTTTCTCTTCAAAAAACCTAAACCTACTTAAAATGTTTTTTTTTTTTTTCAGATAGCGCCGAACTTGCCATGCAAGACTTCCGATCGTCATTCGCTCCGCAAGACCTCGCATGCTGACCGCTCCGCAAGACCTCCGCTTGCCAACCACTGCTTGCCATCCGACCGGCAAGACTTCCGCATGCCGACTGCTCTGCTGGGTCTGCCCATGGATTTTCTCTTCAAAAAAAACCTAAACCTACTTAAAATGTTTTTTTTTTCAGATAGCGCCGAACTTGCCATTGTTATTCGCTCCGCAAGACCTCCGCTTGCCAACCACCCGGCAAGACCTCCGCCTGCCAACCACCCGGGAAGACCTCTGCTTGCCATCCGCCTGGCAAGAATTCCGCATGCCGACTGCTCTGCTGGGTCTGCCCATGGATTTTCTCTTCAAAAAACCTAAACCTACTTAAAATGTTTTTTTTTTCAGATAGCGCCGAACTTGCCATGCAAGACTTCCGATCGTCATTCGCTCCGCAAGACCTCGCATGCTGACCGCTCCGCAAGACCTCCGCTTGCCAACCTCTGCTTGCCATCCGACCGGCAAGACTTCCGCATGCCAACTGCTCTGCTAGGTCTGCCCATGGATTTTCTTTTCAAAAAAACCTAAACCTACTTAAAATGTTTTTTTTTTTCAGATCTGGCAGACTTCCCATTGTTATTCGCTCCGCAAGACCTCCGCTTGCCAACCACCCGGGAAGACCTCCGCCTGCCAACCACCCGGGAAGACCTCTGCTTACAATCCGCCTGGCAAGACTTCCGCATGCCGACTGCTCTGCTCTGAACATGCATTAATAAGCAATTTTTATATAGTAGTTGTAGATTAGTTGTAGTTGTAAATAGTAGTTTTAAATAGTAGTTTTCCAATTTCAAACAAACCAATCCCACCAAGGTGGTCTTTCTCTGAACAGGACTGATAGGACTAGGAAATCAAAATTATAATTAAAAAATTCAAATTAAAGTTGAAAAGACGCATCTGTGTCACTTGAAGAATCAAATATGTAAACAACACAAATTCAAGAAATAAAAATCATTTAAGTAAGAAGAAGTGTTTTACACTATTACTGTACACTGTACATCACACATGACATGACATGCTCTAACTTGGTTTTTGGCTCTTTTGACTGGTGAAAAATTAAAGGGTAGGCCAGCAAAATAATTTTCTCAAGGGTGACCTTCAGGAACTTACCCGTAATAGGTCTAAATTCTCCATGATTGGTGATTTTAATGCAAAACATCGCTCTTGGAATAATGCTCAAAGCAATTCCAATTGTAATATTCTGTTTGATAATTGTTCTGCTGGGTATTACACTATTTAATATCCAAACAGCCCAACATGTTTTTCTTCAGCAAGAAATCCCTAGAACTATTGATTTGGTCTTAACTGATTCATGTCAACTTTGTAGCCAATTGGTTACCCATGCTGACTTCGGTTCTGATCACCTTCCAGTAACATTTGAAATATCCCAAGAAATAATTTCTTATCCCAACAGCTCTACTTTCAATAACCATATATATGATTGGGAGCAATATCGAACATTTATGGAATATAACTTCGATCGTACTATTCCTTTGCAAACCAAAGATTATGTTAATTATGCTATTGAATCTCTAACGACTGATAGTAGAAGCAAGAGGTGCTGCTTCAGTCCGTAGGAGGCAATATCAAAGAACACGCCCTGCCATGAAAGTTATATGGCGGGATTTACAAAATAAAAACAAATTAAAAAACGATTCCCTGCCCGAGCACGTCCATTTTGAAAATAATGTGTAAACCCGAACTGCAACCCCTTTTCCTCTGACAAAAAAAAAACCTCAAAAGCGTATCCCACCGCTTGAAAAATGTGGTAAAATTTTATTCACAAATGCGAAAAAAAAGCTCAGAAACTTGCAAAGCAGTTTGAGAGTGCCCATATATACACACCAAATTTAAATCGCTGGACATCAGTAAACTTTACAGCAAAATAAAGTTGCTGAAATTTCAGATCAGCAAACTTTACAGCAAAATAAAGTTGCTGAAACTTTCAGCAATTAGAATTTCTGTCAAAATGAAAACATTTTACTGAACGTTCAGTAAATCTGTTATGTTTTGCTGAATGTGCAGCAAATGTTTTTTAGACAACTTTATGCTGGTTTTCCAGCAATATTTCTGTTTTCTCCTTACGATAGATTATCAGTTTGTTTTCGTTTTGTCAAATTGTATAAATGAATGCAATACCTACACTGTATTTAATGCATGATTCATTTACTGAATAATTTATTTAATATCGAAATCGAGGCTAACAGTTGATCTATTAACATCTTTTCACCGCAACACCATGCGATCTTGCGACTCATTTGAGCGATTAAGGAAGAACATCTTGCGATGAGTGTTTGCTAAAATTAGATGGAAAAGATTGCTTAATTGGAAAAAATATAAATATGACTCACTTATGTTATGATTTCTGGTCGATTTGGCTAGTATACGTAAAAAGAGTACTTCTATTAAAAAACAATAAACGCGGGAATGTGAATCTCAAATATAAATGCCTGTTTTGACAGATCAACATGGTAGCTGAGCATCCAGCAACATTTTCTGGGTTGCTGTATTATTCAGTATGAACTGCTTTTGCTGGAATCAGTTCAGCAATCCATATTGCTGAAACTTGATTCATATTTCATAATTTTCACTTCGGATCCCCCTGAGTTGCCTCAGTGTTTGCTGATAAATAACACAGATTTCTCCTAACGCTTCCAAAACTCGACTTTTAATATTCCCACATAAGCCCAGAGCTTCTTTTTTGAAACCTAGTAGTAGTCACTGTGAACGGGGTTTCAATTTACTGGTCAAAAAATATTATAGTTCCAGTTGAAAATCGAAAAACCCCACACGCGACAATCGATTTTACTCTCGTTCTGTACGTTAAACATAACGTCGGACATAGTGCGCTGTATTCACACAATGATGCGCTATACAGCGCACTATGTCCGACGTTATGTTTAACGTTCAGAAAGAGAGTAAAATCGAATGTCGCGTGTGGGGCTTTCCGATGTCCAACTTGACCGACAATATATAAAATGTTTGTATCCTCTTATAAATTAAATCCAAACTCTGCCTGAAGAATAAATTTCTAATATTTAAACAAGTTTTTAGAACGGGCATGCTTTATGCTGTGCCAATATGGTCTAGTTGTTGCACTACCAGGAAAAAAGCACTTCAAATGATTCAGATCAAAGTTCTGAAGATGCCTCCCTGGTACAGTACTACCGAGGTATATAGCATTTCGAATGTTGTGACTTTAGAACAAATGTCCAACAAAATAATTAATTATTTCAGGCAGAAATCGTTAATTCCATTTACATTTAGATAACATTTAGTTTTAAGTTTTAAGATGGCAATGTTTATACTGACATGCAGAACATGACAACCTTTTTAAAATACTGAATTGCTATGGCAGAAACAATGTAAACACACTTAGATATATATCATAATAATGAAGGCTGGTAAGTTCCTGAAGGCTGGAGGACTTAGATAAAAATGAAATTTCATTTGACACATGATCTTCAATAACTTTTTTGCAAGGCGTCTGCTTATTAGTTGACTTTTACATTTTATGAATGATCAGTAATAGAAATTTGCCAAAAGGCATAAGGGGATTTCTATCCGTGTAATATTCCCTTCTTCATATACGGTAATGACCCTGAAAAACCCATATTCTTGTTTTCGTTCAAACCGTATTTTCCATACAAAAAAAAATTTTTTTTGTATAAAAAATACGTTTCGAACGAAAACAAGAATATGGGTGAACTGGAAAAGCGCATAGAACAAATTTTCAAAAAAGGGACTGGTTACCGCGACTGGTGCCGTTAAAGTGGAGGAAGCAAATCATCTCCTGCCACAGCTTTGCCACTTTTGATTGAAATGTTTATAAATTAAATTTAATTTTGGAAATAGTTATGTCGGCGGTTATGTCAAATTAAACCTCAATTATCATGAGATGTTCCAAAAGCATATGAGGTAATTCTGTTTAGATTTCAGCACATTTGAAGCATAGAAATATATATATCGGGGTAATTTTGAAAATAGTAATGTTAATATAATTTATACCGATGCCCGATCGAACCATCTATTCATTTTTCATGTGAATCCTTCGCAGCATCCAAAAACTACAGGGGAAACTTATTGCTCAGTTTCAGCCTCGACACGAGGACCGTATCCTGCTGATCACGAGCCGAATGCTGCTCAGAAACGTACAGTGCGTCAAAGCTACAGAATCTAGATTCAATTAAATTGCTCGTAAGCATTTCAAAGAATCCCATCTCCAGGAATATCGAAAGGAACTCGGAATGAACATAAGAAACACTTAACGCATCGAAATTGTACGGCTTGAACTTGAGATCCTTTCAGATGCCGCACGCCAACATTTCCATCGTCTAATCCGTTTCCGGCCATAATCTTCCGTTTCTTGTTGTCCATCATAATTCAACCATTGGACATGGCCTTGCTAAATCCAACCTTTGCATTCGGAGAAGTCTTCATCAGCTCCTCCTGTGGAATGGCATTAAACAGTTAGTTCCTGCATGATTTCCAGCGACACTATATGCAATTATGGAATTATAAACCGAAAATAAACACTTTGATTCGCCGGTTCCTCAGACGTGAATAACAACGCACAAACCGCGATCCAGAATGAACAGCTATCAAAACTGCAACGTTCGGGTTTGTGTTGTATACAATACGATGCCGTATAAGGAAAGCAACATTAGCTGTCATTTGCTTTAGAAGTAAGATTTCACTAACACAGTCAAGCTCATGTGTAAAGCGTAATGTGACATAAAAACGATCAGTTCGACGAGTTTCGATTCGGGCCGGCTGCGCCGGCCCTCCGTATACAACGAATGTTGTTGAGCCTACAGCATTACCGGATCACGCTTCGCTTTACACCAGGTAAGGAAGTGGTAATTGCTGACATGCTTTTTAGGGCAGCACTCTCCGACTGTGATGCGACGAACCTGGAAATGTACGATATTTATGAAGTACAGCAGAACAACAGCATTGACTTCATACCTATCTCTGATGAACGGGTAGAGCAGATTACATCGGAGTCTAGGAACGATCCTGAAATTCAAGCGATCATACAATACATCATTGATGGATGGCCGAGCAAGAGTGAAGTACCAGAGTCGATTAGGGTTTATGGGCCATATCGGAACGAGTTCAGCACCTATTACGGATTGGTTTACCGGAACCATATGATTTTGGTACCACGTAAGCTGCGAAACTTCATTTTGGAAAAACTACACCAACCACACTCGGGGATCGAAGCAACGATGAAGTTCGCAAGATGCACTGTATTTTGGCCAGGCCTAAATGATCAAATCCGTCAAAGTGTCCAAAAGTGTGAGGTTTGTACAAAGTTCTATGCAAGTCAGCAAGCGCAGCCTATGCAAAGTCACCAAATACCATGCTACCCGTACTAAAAGCTTAGCATGGATTAGTGCGAGGTCGAGGTCGTTAGCGAAGCGTTTCGTAAATTTGCAACTAAATGGGGATTCCAACAAACAGGTTCCGCACCCTACCATCAACAAGCAAAGTGTGAAAGTAGCCAAATCGTTGCTAAAGAAGGCTTACGAATCCAAGCAAGACTTTTGGGAAGTTCTTCTGCAGTGGAGAAATACTCCGAACAATGTTGGGAGTTCCCCAGTCCAGCGTTTGACGAATCGACGAGCCTGTTTTGCAGTACCCATGGCAGAGCAAAAATATCTACCGAAGATTGAGGAAGGAGTAAAGGAGAAGCTACAACGGAATAGACAAGAAGCCAAGTACTACTATGAGCAACGAGCCAGAGTGTTGCCACCACTTGAAATAGGTCAGCCCGTCTTTGTGAAATTAACACTTGTGGAGAAGGAATGGACACGTGCAACAGTAGTTGATCCTATCATCGACCGTAAATGAAGCCCTTGAGCGCTGATGTTTTTATATGAAGGTGCGTCATATTCCAGAGAATCGG